CACATGAAGAAGCTGGCTGCCCCACCCTAGTCTTTCATTATGCAGATGGGTTCTCCGGTAGAGAATTCTCCATTCTCCAATGGATCTGACTGCTGCCATGTTGCCTATTCCTTTATTATACATGTGGATGACAAAGAAAAGAGAAGGTGGAGCCTCCATGCTGCACATGCCTGGCCCCCAGGTAGCCTTTTCCTATTGGCACAGCTGCCGACATTCACCCGTGCAAGCTTCCAGCTTGCTCATCTATGTCTGCAGCTCCATTTCACAGGCTGCTCTTTGTTAGAAAACAAATGATTTGGGGGCTGCTTTTTGTTAAAAGGGAAACCTTGCCGAGGACTCTCTTACCCTCACTAACTGCCTAAGTAATTTCTTTTTAGCTCATGTATCAGTAGCACCCTGAATTACTACTAGAAATCCTTTTAGGTCCTGAGAGCCAGAGACGTTAAGTCACTTGCCCAAGCTCCCACAGCCTCAAGGCTGGAACTCAAGTCAGTCTTACCTTCAAGCCTCTGCTCTCTTCTCTGCCACGCTCTGCTTTTGGCTGCAGGAAGATTGAGTTAGCCAATCGACAGATTCCTTATTTAATTATATGTTAGGAAACCATTAGGATTCTCCTAAAAAGGAGTTTTGAATAGTCTTTGATAATGGCGATAAACCTAAGTAGAGGAAGTAAATATAGACAATATTGAAATTCTCCCATTAGGTTTTTGTTTTTAATCTTAATTACATTTTATTATATTCAGTGGTATGCAGTTTCAAAAGGAGGAATTGTCTTGACTCAAAACCAAAAAGATTATCAGATATCTGCTCTTCAGTAGATAGTAGGAGGTGTTTGTGTGTTGTACATGTGTTTAAATCGTATGGCAGGACGTGTAAGAGTTGCCATTTTAATGCTCAATTTTAATTCTCTGCAGAATTATGATTGCCCGATCAGGGCTGGCATGAACTGGCATGAGTTCCCAGTTCCTGGGGAATAATGCTTTCGTGGAAAGAGTTAAGAAGGATGGCTCGCTGCAGGGATAAGGAAATGGGGGGAGGAGAATCCTTTAGCTACATAAGCAAAATCTATATTTATTTGAAAAACATCTCAGGCCCTTTTCTACACAAGAGACTTATTCTCTATTGAATGTGAAATTGCCAAGCTCAGCATGGGCGCCAGACATCCCATTACTGTTTACTTTTCACTTGGAAAGGAAGGGTGAAAACATAACCCAAAACCAAAAATGAAAGTGAAATACTTGGAGCCTCAAATACAGATCTTTGGTATTGCCAATTAAGTCTAGATTCACATGCTTAAAAAAAAAGCCAGCTTGGGGGAAAGACAGAATTAACATTCTGTTATGAAGTCGAGACTCTTCCTGGCACACATGCCACCCCAGGCCAGGCAAAGTCCTGCTCAGACAACAGCCCTTGCTGTCAGTCCGATAGGCTTTAGGCAGTAGTTCTCAGACTTAGCTAGCTTAGAATCACCTGGGAAGCTTCTAAAGTAGGGAACCATAGAGCAGCAATGCAGACAGATCGAATCAGAACTATTTGAGGTTGGATTTAGCGTCACTATTTGTAAAACTCCCCAAGTGACTCCAATATGCTGGCTTTTGTGAATTTATCAGCACACGGGTGCTGATTGTGAAGGAAGTCAGAACAGCTCCTGCTTTCCCTACTCAGACTCATCGCTGGTGTGCCATTGGGAAGCACCATCAAAACATGCCGCTGTTTGAGCCCACTCCAGACCCACGACATCAGAGTCGCTGGGGCTTGATGTAGGCTATGCTCTTCATCTATAAATCGAAGGGGTTGGCTAACTGGTCCTTAACAACGGTTTTGTTTTCAAACTATAGGATTCCATAGAGGGTTGGATGTGAGTGAGGTGATAATGTAACCGAGTACTCCTTTTTTTCTAAGAGAAGGAATACATTACAATCATTTTTAAAAGTATTTTCTCTTTTCTCCTTTCCTCTTGTCCCTCACTTTCTACTTAGCCCTTTAGAAATGCACATCTCACCTTTCACCTCCCCCTCACTAGACATTCTTTACAGGACAAGTTCATTTAACTATATGCTCCAAGACAGAACTCTCTGGAGAGTTAAGGGCTGATTTATAGACCAAAGCATGACCTCTATGGCATTCTCACCCTCCAAGGGGTTGCCAGGGAACTCACCGTCCAGGAGAGCAGGTTGAAAGCATGTCCACTACCCTTTCCCACCTGGAGAGTTTTAGGCCACTTTTTCAACTTATTTCTACCTATGAAAGTACCAGTTCCACTGCCTGATAGATGAGGCACCACGCCAGCGTGCAGACCCCCTGCCCTTGCTCACTTCCTCCACTGCCTTTTAAAAGTTCCCACTGTCTGCTCCTAAAGCAAAGCAGTGCATGTACTATTTATTTATTTGTTGACACAGTCTCACTCTGTCACCCAGGCTGGAGTGCAGTGGCCCGATTTCAGCTCACTGAAACCTCCAACTCCCAGGTTCAAGCAATTCTCCTGCCTCAGCCTCCCGAGTAGCTGGAATTACAGGCACCTACCACCATGCTCGGCTAATTTTTTATGTTTTTAATAGAAACGGGGGTTTTACCATATTGGCCAGGCTGGTCTCCAACTCCTGACCTCAAGTGATCTACCCTCCTCAGCCTCCCAAAGTGCTGAGATTACAGGCGTGAGCCACTGTGCCTGGCAAAGCAATGCATTTAAAGGCAGAAACCTGCACCTTTTCCCCAAAGGAGCTTTGGAATAAATCACTTTTTTCTTATATCCAGCCTCACTCTTGTAAATTGGATTCTGCAAGCAACGAGTGACTAATCTGTGGTCCAGTTACAATAACAATAATAGAGAAAAGAGAGTGCGAATGATAAAGAAATCTACCAACATCAAATCACATTTGATTATTTCAAACACTTAGTACCCACAATCATCAGATATAAAGGATTATAGAGAGAAACAAGGGAGGCGCTTGGGCGTTTTATGCATTATGAAAAATGCTTAGTCACAAAGCATTTTCTGATCTTGTTGCAAGGTCGTCAGATCAGCACACTGCAGAGATTGGTCTGTGTGCTGGAAGCTTCATTCCACAACAGGCATCAAACTGTACCCCGAAGGGATACTCCTCTGGGTCTTCAGAAAAGATAAGCGTGAGCTGTGCACTGCCTATCCTGAGCCGCTGTGGAAATACCTCTTTTCCATAACTGGAATGGTGGTGCTGCAGAGACAAACATTAAACAGCTGAATGTAAAAAGCCTCCTTGTGTGTCTTCTCCATGGCCAAGGCTGGATGGAGGTTGAACACCCTTGCTCGTTTGCTGATGTGGCCTCTTGGGGGCAATATGACCCAACGCTTGCCCTGGCTTCCTAGCTTGAAAAAGATTCACACTCTTCCTTGAATGCTTTAAAAAACTATTGACCCAGAGAAACAAAAATAAGTCCCCGAAACATGACAGAATCACGATGACACAAACCTGATGATCAATCCATGTAGTAACAATAAGGAGCCAAATAGAAGTAAGACTTGTAAAATTTCTTCTAGAAAATTAGGAAGGCAATAAATATTATATGCATACATATTAATATAAAGATATAGTGTATGTCATATGACATTATATATAAATATGTATTTGTATATAGAATCTTAAATATTAAAGGTTCACTTTGTTTTAGAAAAATACAAGCAACTTTTACAATGAATTTTACTTCAAAGCAAAGGAACTATTGAAATGTTTTCACGTTTTTGCCTTTCTGTTCAGCCTTATCCCCGAGGGCTTCGGAAAATCTCTAGTACTCTGACGATAAGTAAGTGGCTCTGTTAACAAGCGACAAGCAACTGCAGTTAGAAAATTTATGACGGGGCCGGGCTCGGTGGCTCAAGCCTGTAATCCCAGCACTTTGGGAGGCCGAGGCAGGTGGATC